TTGATAACTAGCCTAGCTTTATACTTATTAATTGATCTATTTGCTTTCATCTTTTTTCTAAAGATCCACCCTAAGGCCTTACTGTCAGGGAGTCAATCAACCAACTCCCAAGTATGGTTCTATAAGATAATGTCAATCTCACTCTTAATTGCTTCTTTCCACAAAGGACTTTCAGATGAAGTCACGGTTTCATGGAAAGTTCGAGGTTATCCCTCTAACATATAAGTCAAGAAGTCCGGATCAAAGGACTTTGTCTTAGCCCTTTTACTCCTTCTTGGCTCATTTACTTTCTCAACTTGATCATCTACTTGATCATCTATGTGATCATTGTCACCTTCAACCTCTTTCATGGAACTCAGAACCCCTTATTAGATACGACAAAGAAATACATTTTCAAAGAAATATGCATTTCTAGATTCCATCATAGTATTTTTGTGTGTTTTTGGAACAACAGACTTTAAACACAAGAAATCAATATGCACTGCTATTTGTGCATAACCGTTGAATACAAAGTCAACGGGTTTTTAGGCTTATCCTAACCCTCTTGGGTTTAGATATTACCACCTTTTGCATGACACCCTCTCATTTGCAGAATTTATACAAAGGCTTTTGGCCTTTTCCAAAAATTCATACAGGGTCTTGAAACAATTCATTGTGTCACAATGATTATGAAACTCTCAAAATCATATTACAGTAAATACATTCCCAAAATGTCATCAGCCAAATTAGGCACCCAAACATATTTGGTCCAACCTATCACTCTTAAAACAATAGCCTTACTATTAGGAAACACAAATCCAGTGTTCAATAATCTACTATTCGGAACTTCATAACATGGCCAGTAGTCTTATCACTAGGAATCACTAATTTCTCAACTTGTGGTCAGTAGACTTTCTACTACTAGGAATCACAATGTTTTAACCTGTAATCAGTAATCACTTTACTATTAGGAATCACAACGTCCTGACACAATAGACTCTTTCATTACTAGGAATCATCATGTCTTGACATATGATCAGTAGTCTCTCCACTACTAGGAACCATCATGTCTTGACATGTGATCAGTAATGTGTTCACTACTAGGAACCACAATCTCATCTCATAACTGTGTAGCCAGTGATCTAACACCTCCTAGGAATCACCAGTTTTCTATCTCTGTGATCAATGATCTTGTACTCACTAGGAGCCACCAATTTAAGAATATATTTGGAATTTAAAAATTCACAAATATATTCACCTACCTTAACGAGTTGTCTCATCTTTACTTTCAAGCAAAGTCACATAGCAATCATATATGCTATAATTGACACAAGGATAACATACTAATCGCCTCTGATTAATTCAGAGATACTATCATGCAATCTTATGATTTTCTTTAATCACACTTGATCTCTCTAGATCTTCCTTTAAGAACCTCGCAAGGCTTAAGGTTGGCAGGTGGAACAACATATATGTTGTCGCCTCTTGAAGCCATTTCTAAAAAATCACAACAGAATTTCATTATTCTGTTTTTCCAAAAACTAAACTTAACACTAGAAAATCCATAGTTTGAAATTTAATTCAAAACTGATCTCAGCACTTACCGTAGAATCGAATATGGTCAGGAAAGTTTCTAGGAAGATTGGAGGGGTCCCGCTAGTCCCACTTTAGACCCAGTTAACCTTAGACAAAACTTTCAAGAGCATGTTGACTCCTAGTCTATGGGAAAAAAATTTAGAATTAAGTTTTCTGAGGGATAAACCAAGTTAAAGCAAACCAATTCCCAAGCAAATAAAATTTGCTACCAAAATTACACCACTCATAAAAGTTAACCGGTACTCCCGAAACTGAGCCCATTATTTCTAAATAAAATCAGTAATATTTTAGCTAATGCTAAAATTTGATTTCTTTTCTCAAAACCAAAACACTTTGGAAATAATCATATTATAAACCAAAACACTTTAGAAATAATCAAATTATATCCAAAAGACTTTCTCCAAACTTGGTTTTGCAACACTTTGGGAATAAAATGATTAAACCCAAAGACTTCCTCAAACCCCAAAGGTTTGAAACCAAATCCGTCTTAGTTGTCCTATCTGAACAAATAAGAAGTACTCTTTAACTAAGGCTAAACACTTTGGTTTCTATACAGAAAACCAAACCAAGTTCCAAACTTACAAGCAATTTAAAAATTGCTAACCAAATTACAAGCAATGTAAAAAATTACTATAACAATTACATGGATATAAAATGCTTCCAACATGCCAAGAAAACAACCTTGCTTTTAAAATAAAATTTGCAATTAACCACTACTAAATCACAAGCAAACAATTACTTCAATTATAAAGAGAGTAACCAATCCATAAGGATTTTATATTATCCAAAATCCTTTCTAGGTTTAGTTATTCCTGTTCATCACAAAGGTTAGTCGTCTATACTTTTTGTTTGTACATCCCAAAGACTATTCATTTGATTTTGTATTTTTTTTTTTCAATCCCTTTCGCATAGGCATTTCTGTAAAGAAAGTTGGCAGAAAAACACAAGAAAAAACAAACCAAGCAATCTAAAGAAACTTGAAATCATCTAACAAACTATTTAATAATAAAAATTAACTAATTAAAATGCTAGGTGAGTTACAACAATAAACCTTACGAGTTACAAAATAAACCTATAACACTAAGAATTAAATTAAAATTTAAATGAAAGGAGTTATAGAAAATTATTACACAATAATCATATAAATAAATATAACCAAGTTACAAAAAAATTATAACTCCAAAATTAAATTAAGATTAATTGCCATGAGTTATATATGAATTTAAATCACAATAAACATGTAAACTTATAACTCCAAATAAATAACTTAATAGGCAAGAGTTACAAATGAATTTATACAAAACCATAAACATGTAATACACATGTGACTGTTTGTAGCAATTAACATGTAAATAAAATCATACACATAACTTTAGAAACAATAAGCATGTAACAAAAAATTAAAATTTAGAAAATTTTGAACATGCAAATTATGTTATGAAACTATAAAAACGAAGCATACAAATCATGGTAGGAAATAAAAAAAACATGCTCATGAAATTATATTACAATAATCAATAAGCAAATATTACTAGAGATCTAGCAATAAAATATTCTAAATAAAACATAACATTGCATAATCATAATTCCAATCATACATACCCAGGAAAAAAAAAACAGTGGGCAATACAATTCTTTGAAACAGTTCCTCTTAAATATGAATTAATATTTTATATTCAGATACTAATTATAACAAACAGCTACAATGCAACAATAGGCAATCAAGATGAAAACAATGGCATTCAAATTAAATGAATTTAACATTCCAATCATGACTATCATAAAAGTTCTGAGCAAAATCAATATTCTGCAAATATAACACGAAAACCAAGGGAAAGTAGGCATTGTAACCAAAGCAATTCACAGTGACATGCTAGGAATTAGTAAGTAATTGACCTTAGATATTTTAGTACTATGGGGCTAACGCAACAGTATGCAGATTCGTATTCTGAAACAGTGCAACATACATAATATTTTAACCTATTACATATACGAATTTATTTATCTAATTTTGATGAGAAATATATCTAATCTGTTTTAAGATTGTTGTCCAAACTGTATAAGTCAAACAAGACAAATAAATTTGTGATTATCAATTACTTTACAGAATGAGAAAACATGCTAAATATTGCAACCATATTGCACAAAAATACAAAATACGATAAATGGTAAAAAAAGCAAACCGAAGCCTGTGTGATACCAAAATGTCCTTAAAACAGATTAGCCGCCTTACCGTGGGTGCTAGAGGTATATCAACTTCTATCTCCCAGGAGAGACCGACTAACACAGAAGCACCTTCTGTTAGTTTTGGCGAACTGACAATGGCAGTACTCTCTCACACAGGAAGAAAATTATAAAAGGAGACTGACTTGACTATAATCTGAGAGCAAAATTTATGTATTGAACCCAAGAGAGATAGGCCTCTTTTTATATACAATAGGGGAGAGAGAAGAAACCTTCCAGTCATGAAGGCTGGCAACCACTAATCATTACTCTTGCAAAACTACTGGAGTAATGGACCAATTGATGGGGATTCAACGTGTGAGTTACACACACCAAAATATAATATCTGCATATCTGCAGCAAACCTGGCCCAAAAAGATTACGTTGGTGGACCACCAATACGGCCCAACCCAAACCTAACTCAAGCCTCAAGCCCAAGATCCAAGATCCACGGACCCGAACCGAACCGTGGGTCAAGCCCATCCTTGAAGCATCTATAACTCTCTTCCTTTGGAAAATTTTGGATGCCCTAAAGGGCTCATGCGCTTATCAAAATCTTGAGGTTTAAATACTCATCAAAGTTTTCTTCTACAATCAATGTAGGTATGGTAGTTATACACAATTTCCAATACCTCATTCATGAGGTCATCTTTATGAGACAATTTCTCATTCAATTCTCAATGGTTTTTGGTCATTCTTTTTATAGTGGAAAGACCTTGTTACAAAGAATCTAAACCCATTTAATCCCACCTTAACCTATGGTTGGGACCTACTTTAATTTCACTTTAAAGTTACCAAAAACCCATTTTTTCCAACATTTGTTTCAGAATACAAAGTTTTATTATTGCAAGAAAATTATACAAGATTTGTTAGTTTGTATAATATTTTTCTAAACCTTACGTTAATACCTTAGGGTCAGTTATCAAGTGGAAAAGACATAGCTGTCAAGCGCCTCTCAACGAGCTCCAAACAAGGTGTGGATGAATTCAAAAATGAGGTTATTTTGATTGCCAAGCTTCAACACCGAAATCTAGTTAGGCTTTTGGGATGTTGCATCCATGGAGAAGAAAGAATGTTAGTTTACGAGTATATGCCCAATGGAAGCTTGGATTCCTTCATTTTTGGTTTGCCTTCTCAACCTTCTTATGTATCTTTCAACCATGGATCCTTTGTCTATAATTTTTTATGTTCTCTGTCCCAAAACACTCATAACTTGGAATTTATGATATAATCAAATGGATGTAGATGATATGGGATTGGCGGCCATTTGGGGCCACTGGATCATGTATCATATCTTTCTTACTTGGAATTTATATTTCACCAATAAAAAAAGTATTATTGCCAAAGAAGTTGTCTAACTAGAATGATTTATGAAAAAAATTAATAAACTAAGCAAAAACTTTGTGAATTTTTCCCAGCAGGTGTAGAAAAAAAAAGTAAATCATTTACATGGAGCACACGATTGGACATTATTGTGGGAATTGCTCGAGGGATTCTTTATCTTCATCAAGATTCAAGATTGAGAATAATTCATAGGGATCTTAAAGCTAGCAATGTGTTACTTGATAGTGAGATGAATCCTAAAATTTCAGATTTTGGCTTAGCCAGGGCTTTTGGACATGATCAATCATCAACAAAAACAGAAAAGGTGGTTGGAACTTAGTAAGTAAACAATGTAATGTTTCCTTGTTTTAGGTTAAACTATATATTAAAGTTCACATCTAAAGTTTAGTTTTCTTTGACAATGATATGCAGTGGTTATATGCCTCCAGAATATGCGATTGATGGCCTCTTTTCAATGAAATCAGATGTTTTTAGCTTCGGAGTCATAATTTTAGAAATAATGAGTGGCAAAAGGAACCGAATGTTTCATCATTCAGACCATGATCTTAACCTTCTTGGACATGTAAGTTCATAAACGTATAATATGTCTCCTTCTTACAACCCATGGTTCAAGGTCGAAACATGAACCAACTATAAAACCAAAGATATTGTGTTCTGCTAGCAACACCCTGACTTATCCAATACTTGTGGTTTGTGGGTAATTGCAACCATCCAAAGCTTACCTTGCAAGGGTAGGTTGAATGTAACCTTGTGTTGGAAGGGGTTCTTGATTTATAAAAAAAAATCTTTTCTTTTACTTTCCTCATATTTTCTTATATTTAATTTTTACATATATTTTGAGCCATTGCAGGCATGGAACCTTTGGACTGAAGGAAGGGCTTCTGAGTTATTAGATCCATTGATGGAGTGTTCATTTCCAATGTCAAAGGTATTAAGGTGCATACAAGTTGGTCTCCTATGCGTGCAAAAATGCCCCAAAGATAGGCCAATGATGTCATCTGTGTTCTTAATGTTGGTTAGTGATAGTGCAATTTTGCCTCAACCCAAGCAACCTGGTTTTTATATAGAGAGGAGTTCCAACGAAACACATGATCAGTCATTACTTAAAAGTAGTCCTAGCATTAACGAAGTGACTATGACATGCCTAGCAGCTCGATAAAACATTTTCTACCTGCAACAATGGGACCACATGCAACCTAGGTGGGCAGTTGCCCCTCTTAAGTTTTTAAAATTACATTTTTTATTATAGTCCAAACAGTTTTTTTTTTTTTTTTTTTTGTCAATAGAAATTGTACATGTATCCCTTAATTTTGTTATAGCCCCTCTTTAAAAATTAAAAAATAAAATCTTTATTATATATCCTCCCTCCATTCCTACTATCATCTGTTTTTTTGTTTTTATTTTTTCATTTTTTTTTTTTTTTATGGTGGGGTTGAGATGCTCTGGAATTGATTAAAATTGTGGGGTTTAATTGCTAAAGAAATTAGTTCATTATACAATAGAGCATTCTTAGCAACTTTCAATATTTTTTTTGATAATTCCAGATATATCTAATAAAGTGTAGATGAGCAAAGTTATATGTTGAGATTTAGCTAGCATCATGTATGTGGATTTTGATCCTTCCCATTTCATTAAAATCTCTATTTCATTGTATAAGTTTGTAACACGTCATCAAAATATAAAAATAACAGTTTGTATTTAACATGTTATTGCATGAATTATGATTTTCCTTAACCTTTTTTTGAATTTAAAATAAAGATAATTCATCATTGGTGAAGTGGGACTTACTCATGAAAATATAGTTCGATTAGAGTATAGAAAAGTTTAGGAGACCGGAAAATGGTCTTAGATTTTTATCATGAAAAATAAATTTATGATAAATTATAAATACATTTTTTATAATTTACTTAAAATACAAATTGTCTTATATAATTTGGAAAATTACATCCCACTTCTTCAAGTTTCTAATCACATAACAAATAACTCATTTTATTAATAAACCATCAGGTCAATTATAATTTTTAATGATGTCAAAAATATATTTCAATTAATAATTCAGATAATTTTGTTGTTGTATAGAAGAGTAGTTAAAATTTTAATTTTTTATGTTAATTATTGTAAATAAATTTTGTTGACATTGGAGTATTTATAATTTTCAAAACTACAAGGATCAATCTACATTTTAAATAAATCTCAAAAGGTGTATTTGTGTTGGGAAAATTGCACTAGTAGTCCCTCTACTTTAGTTCTTGTGTCATTTTATTCCCACAATTTCAATTGGCACAATTTTGACCATGAATTTATAATTTGTTTCAATTTAGCCTGATTGATTACAACTCTTAACATTTTTTATGAAAAATATACATATAAGTGACGTGCGTCATATTTTTTGAATAAAATTATAGACTTACTACACTCAGTGAGTTAATCTGAACCAATTCAGCAATTATTTTCCATCAAAAACACTAATAACATTATCAATTAAATCAAATTGACACAAAATTTAAAATTAATGATCAAAATTGAGCCAATTAAAAATAGAATGACTAAAATGACATGAGACAAAATATAAAACTACCGATGTAATTTGCTCATTTTTATTTTACTTATAAATCTACCTTTTGTGTTTAAAGTTATTGTTGCGGGACTGAATTTTGAATAAATCCTATACATTAATTTCATTTTCTAAGTTTTGTATTTTAATTTTCGTTTCTGAGTTCTTAGTACCACTGTTTAATTATTGATTGGTGGTGGTGACTATACGCGTAGGCCGAAAGGTGATTCTTGTCCAAATGCACAATTTTATGAGAAAATATCACATCAGTGATATTTGAAAAATTAATTATAAATTAATGAAAAATTATATAAATATTAATAACTAAATTTATACATGTATATTTTTTTTATGGATTTGTATGTTTTTGTTTTTCTGCATTCCACTAGGGTGTAGTTACCCCCAATTTTACCCATGTTCCTCAGTCAATTTCCATTGACTATCTTATCTAATGTGAAAACCTAAGTGATTCGTGATACAAACTAAGAGTAATTGTAACAATTCCTAAACAATTAAAACTAACAATCTAAATCAACTAACTCGTACAAAAGTGATTTAGATTGTTGCTTCAAACACAATAAATTGACAAAACTGATTATTGCGTGGAAAAATTACAATTGGAGCACCTCCAATTGTGATTAAAAAATCAAAGGCGAAACGCCACTAATCAATCCACTATGAAAGAAATAAAGAATACAAATTTACTAAAACAAATTACCCAAACTTTGTCAATTTGTATTCAACGATCTGTATCTCTTTCACCTCTATCGGAATTGATTAATTTGATGTTGAATCCACAACATTCATGTCAAATAAACGACCACGCACAATTTCAAACTCCTTCAAATACTCCATGCTTGAATCTCCGGATTCCATCGAAGAAGAACACTCTTGTATTTGAATAACCAATCAACTCTTTGATGTATATATACTTGCAAACCATGAGTTTAATACTCAATCAAACATCAAAGAAACTAGTAAAGTTGCTCCAGAAGAAAACCCTAATGCCCTCAAATAAGATCTGGAAGCCATACCCTAAAAATAGACTAAAACGTAGCTTTATAGTAAACAGGGCCGCAATGGTTGCTCGAGCGAAGGATATCTCGCTCGAGCGAAGAGACAGATCTGCGTGTATTCCTTAAGTGCCTTCGTTGAAGCCGCCAAAAGGTTCGCTCGAGCGCACAAAATTCCTTCCCAGTATTTTTGCAAATAGTGAAATACTGGGAGCAAGTTTTCTTCGCTCGAGCCAGGACTCCTTCACTCGAGCGAGCAAGGCAAAAAACCAGGAACATTTACAACTTGATAAGTTATGTTTGTTCGCGGAATTGACAAGACTAAGGGACCTAACATAATGTAAACACAATCATAATAGAATAAATTGCTCGACATTCAAGACAGTGATGAAGAAAACTTAGAATTACCCATCTTTGATATGGTCACCATTAGCAGGGCAACTAACAGTTTTTGTTGCACAAATAAAATTGGAGAACTTGGTTTTGGGTCTGTTTACAAGGTAAGTTTATTCCATTCCTACACTGGCTATTTTAGCTATTTTAGTGGACAAATGAAATTCTTGATAAGGAAAAATACATTAAAGAAGAAGAAGAAGAAGAAGCTGCTATAATGTTTTGCATGATGATCAAAATAAATATTTATGTTGATTATCGTAGGGTGTGCTAAACACTGTGATTTGGTTAGGCTTTTGGGATGTTGCATCAATGGAAAAGAAAGAATGTTAATTTACAAGTACATGCCCAATGGAAGCTTGGATTCTTTTATTTTTGGTTTGCCCTCTAATCCTTCCTTTGATCATCTATATCTTGCTTGTTTAGAATTCATGTTTGACCAAATAGAAAATTATTCTAATAAAAAAAGTTTGCCTTGCTAAGTTGCTATAATATTATGAACAACGGTGTATATATCACTGTTTTTTCCACTGTTCTATATCACTTGATATTCTTGCTCAATGTTTACTTAATAATATCATGATTCACGAGCTTCCAAGTTGGCTGTGAAGCAATGCGATAAAAAATGAGTGACATAATATATCACTTTTGTAATGGATTTATATATATATATATATATAATACTTCAAAATTTAATAAATTAATAAAAACCTTGGGCCCCTTTATTCAATACAGGTCTAGAAAACCCAAGAAGTAGATCACTGACATGGAGGAGACGCTTTGCTATTATTGTTGGGATTGCTCGAGGGGTTCTCTATCTACATCGAGATTCAAGATTGAGAGTTATTCATAGAGATCTTAAAGCTAGCAATGTGCTACTTGATTGTGAGTGAATCCTAAAATTTCAGATTTTATGGCCTAGCTAAGGTTTTTGGAGTAGATCAATCATCCGCAATAACAAAAGGGGTCGTTGGAACTTAGTAAGTGGCCAACACTCTTTTTCTTGTACAAGCTTAGCCTAGAAAAGTCACCAGATTTCCAAGTACATCTCTGGAGCTCATTCTGTAGATAGATGGCCTATTTTCAATGAAATCTGGTGTTTTTTGCTTCGGAGTCATTGACTTGGAAATATTGAGTGGCAAAAGGAATAGGTTGTTCCATCATACAGATCACGATTTTAACCTTCTTGGACATATAAGTTCTTGAACAAAGAATGTTTTCTTGTTTTACTTTGCTATTTTTCAATGAGTTGCACAACTTGCACAAAACCTTTTCACATATCACAAAATAGAAACAATGGGTGAAATTCCTTCATTGTTTCTCTTATGTGATCCTTTATGTGAAACAATTACGTGGAATTATAAATATTCTGTTTTCTAATAGTTCTTTTATCTTGATGTTCTATATTGAGCCATATCAGGCATGGACACTTTGGATTGAAGGAAAGGCCTATGAGCCATTAGATCCATTGGTAGAAAGTTCACTTCCAATGTTAGAGATATTAAGGTGCATACAGGTTGTTGCCTTATGTGTGTAGAAATGGCCTGAAGACATTCCAACCATGTCATCTGTGCTCTTAACGTTGATTACTGAGGCTGCAAGCAACCTGGTTTTTATATAGAGAGGAAGTCCAGTTACAAACTTATCTGTTGACTCAGTAATTATAGCATCAATGAGATGACTATGACACAATTAGAGGTTCAATAAATTTTTTTGGAGAACTTTAGTGCATGTAAAATTAAGATTGAGAGAAATCAAGATTTGAGCAATTGGAGTGTTCAAATGTATTGAACCCATTGTATTTTTAATAGATCTTAAAAGTGACTTTTCATGAATGCACATCCGACTAGTGGTTAGTTATTAGTTGAGAAGAGCTATATATTATTAAGAGATTTAGCTAGCATCATCTAATGTTTATTGTTTCCAGATAGTGCAACTCACAAGTAAAACAAAAAAATTGCAACTCACAAAAAAAAAAAAAAAAAAGCATCAAGGTAGTCATCAAAGACGAAGTGTTGGCATAGTGGGTGAGGTGTTTCTTCACAAGGCGTGATGTCTAAGTTTGAGTTTTATCTGTTGGATGACACAACTTCCTTATTTGTATTCTTCTCCAATCGATTGGTGAAAAAACAAGTATAGTCATCAACCATGCAAGTAAAAATTCATTATAACAATGAAACAATGTCATCAATGTCATGTGTATTACCAATTAATAATAAAACTATACATGTGATATTGCAGCCCTACTCCCTAAAATATGATTACATGTTACAAGATAATTTTGTAACACTCACATTTACAATATGGAAAAT